GGACCAGAAAACAGTGAGGCCCTGACAGGGGTTGGCGATTACGGCCACCCCACCGTCTGACCGTTAGGAGTTGTGCCTTCGAGGACAAACCTATAGTTAGTGGTTGTATATCTTTGGAGGAATTCAGTAATGCAAAGTGTTTCAGTGCAAGTTTCGAAACAGATCAAATTCTATAAATGGATGAGAAAGAGGAAACGAGCCTTGGCACAGGAACTGGCGTGACCAATGACGGAGTGCTGGTGATACAATTGATATTGTTTTTCTCGATCAGTGGTGAATCTGCGCCTCCCAAGTGGACGTTCATCAGCGACATTGATCCAGGCGACATTGGTCCTGCAAGCGGCGGCGCTGCAGGATTTGCCACGGAGAAAGCACGAGGTAGTGGTGAGAAGTCCGGGATGGATTGCGATGTCCCCGGTTGTCCAGCAAGAGTTGCGTTTAATCGCTGAGCTTGCTGGTTGGGATACTGCTCCTCATTCTGATAAAATAAACAATTACTAATCAGACATGTGCGAAAAGGGGCAAAGGAGACAAAGACTAACCTGGAACGACTGCGATTCTGCCCATTGCGATACAGATTCGCTAGCAGGAATCGGACGGAACATTGCTTCGGGAGGAGCGGTTCGATCCGGCAGCTAAAATTAGCAGTCACTCGCTAAATTGGAAAAAGACAGAAAATGAAGCAATGGTTAACTTCGTTATTTCTTGAGGGATAAAATAAGAGATAGACTTCCAAGGATACCTCTCAACTCACAGTGAATTTTCAATCGAAATAAGTGACCACTCACCTTACTATTCTTCCCAGTTGCACCACAAAATACGAATCCTTATACAATATAATTAATACGCAAAAAATACTTCCAGTCACCAACAATTGCCTACTATAGGGGGCTACCGTAACTTCACTACGGGTTCATTTCGATCGGTCGCCTAGACTTCGGATGGTCAGATGGCCGTAAGACGCGTGAAGTAAGAACCACCGCTGGTTGGGAGTTTTAAAATCTCAAAAGATGTTCGACACCTGAAAAGATCAGCGAGCTGATAAAGCAAGGCTATCTGGCGCATGATTCCGGCATTTGCACGGCAGCTGGGTCAGAAAGAGAGCTCAACTGGCTGGCCCCAATGTTGGGCGGAGGTGTGGGGAGTACAGTGCGTAACAAAAGTATGTGGACACCTTTTTGTCCTGCAAAATTGCCTTTGAATTTTGCGATATGAGACCTTTATTGTTGAATTCCTCATAAGCGAAAACATAGGAATACACTACTTCTGAGCACTTTGTGAACTACTGTACAATTATTTATACATTTGTCATGGTGTCTTCGTCGATTTCCTCCCATGCAGCAACTACCGCCTCCTTCAAGTCTCGCACGCTGTTGTACTGCCGACTGTTCATGTAGATTCGTCGAACCATGATCCCCACAGGATTTCGGTTGGGTTGCAGTCAGGAGAACACGCCGGCCAATCAATCACTTTGATACCATTGCGCTGGAGTCATTTTCTAGTAGAATTTGAAGTATGCACAGCGGCGTTATCCTGCTGCGTCACATGTGTCCTACGTCCTGACCCGCTCAGAAAAGGCAAGAG